TTTCAATATTTATTTTTTAGTTCTTGGCGGACACAACATCTTTGTTTGTATGTGGTGTTGAGGATCGAACCCGGGCCGCACGCATGCCAGGCGAGCACGCTACCGCTTGAGCCACATCCCCAGCCCAAACAAGTTTTTTAATAACAGTAGTATCTTTAGATTTTATTTAGATTTTATTTAAAAAAATAAATAAGTTTGGTGAAGGATCACAAATATCAGAGGTATGTTTATTATAGCATTTAAAATCCACTTGAAATAATCTAGTGACTAATCACTTTAAATCAAAGAGGTTATAGAAAATATGTCATTCAATGGGGGAATATTATAATTAAGCAATCTTGATTGGTTTTGAAGTTTATTTTTAAAATTTTCTCTTTTTGTGTGCAGTTCTAGGGATAAAACTTAGGGCCTCATGCATGCTAGGCAAGCACTCTATCTATCACTGATCTTTTCTTATTGGACCTGTTTTTCCTTAATGTGCTTTAGGGCAGAGGTTGGCAAACTGCTAGGATTTTCCACCTGTTTTTGTAAATGAAGTTTTATTGAAACACAGCCATGTTTGTTCATTTAGGTATTGTCTTTGTTTCTTATTAACAGTGACATACATAGTTGATATTTATGATAGACTGCATGTCCTACAAACCTGAAATATTTACTTTCTATTTACAGAAGTTGTTTGCTGACCACTGATATAATTTCTGTTATTTTAATATTATAAAAATGAGCAAATATATAAATTACATATGTAATATGTACATATGTTTGTCTATACTGGTCTGATTTACCTTAACCAAAAATTCATGAGTCTTATAAAGTTGATTTTCTGTTTTAGGCAACATATGAAAAGCTGGATAGGTCCAAATCTAAACTTGAGGATGAAATACTCTTTCTAGAAAAAGAGCTAAAAGAAGAGAAATCTAAACATTCTGAACAGGATGAATTGGTAAGGCTTTCATATTTGAGGAGAAAATAAGAAAAAGACAGTTATTGTTTTAAAAATTAATCCAATATTGCTAAAATATTACAAGTACTATAAAAAGTGCAAAGAATACAGAAGAGCAAAAATTTCCAGATCTACTGTTTTTACTTCCTAGATGTTATTTTAAATTTTTTGCATGTTCCAATAGAAATTTTCTATGTGCATTCTGTAAGTAACTCATACATATTTCAAGTTGAATCATTACATGCCTGGTGGGTATTTTTATTACTTAAATAAAAGATATATTAAGAACATTATCTCAGGCATTTTAGAGTTCTAAAAGGTCTAAACCGACAAAATTAAGCTGTGGTATTGAGAAGACAGTACTGGCACTAGCTTGGGGAGGAGAAAAGGTGGCAGCAGTACTGAGGCAGGTCATGGGGAACTTCTGATGTCTGCTAGGATTCTGTTTCTTGACTTGGGTGATGACATGTTTATTTTGTGGTAATTTATTAAACAAGTACAAATTGTAAAAAAAAAAAAAAAAAAGAACATTATGACTTTTTGTTTAAAATATGGCTTAAGGAAAATTTTGATGTGGTGAGATTATTTAATAAGATGATGTAATATTGATGGATTTACTTGAGCCTGTGTAAGTGTTACAAAATATTGAATTTGAGTTTAGATACTGTTGTTGTGGAATTATGGTATAAAATCCCTACCAGCATATGGTAAATAAACCGAGGAACTTCTAAATTTGAGCCCTTACTTGTAAAACAAAAACAGTAGATTAACAATATACCTAATATATATATATATATTAGGTATATTGTGTGTATATATATATATATATATATATACATATATATATGAAATCTTTGAAACTGAAGGGGTTTAGTAAATACTTATTTGTTGAATGATACTGTCTTTACAGATGGCAGATATATCAAAAAGGATACAGTCCCTAGAAGATGAATCAAAATCTCTCAAATCACAAATAGCTGAAGTAAGTTGAATTAGTCTAATAGTCTATTGCTTATGAAAATCACTGTAATTTTATTGTTATTTTTATTATTAAGAATTAAGATACTATACTAGGATTTGAGATATGGGGAATCTTAATCTATTTTATTTACATGAGGTACTTCAGAGAAGTTCATTTTTTACTGGGCAATTGAATGTGAATAGCACATTGTGGATACAAAAGTGTCCAGGGGGTTTAAATTTTAGTAGGGCAGACACAGATTGTTAACAAAATTTGTTGCATAGTACCTAGTTTACAGACTATTAAATCATTTGTTCATGTCACATGGCAAATTAGTGGCACAATCAGGACTATACACCTGATTCTACTTTTTTTTTTTTTTTAAAGAGAGAGGCAGAGAGAGAGAGAGAGAATGAGAATGAGAATTTTAATATTGATTTTTTTTTTTAGTTTTCGGCAGACACAACATCTTTGTTTGTATGTGGTGCTGAGGATCGAACCCAGGCCGCTACCGTTTGAGCCATATCCCTAGCCCCCTGATTCTACTTTAATGTTTTTCCTGTAATACTATGCTGCCTTGGGCATGTTTTTGCCTTTGTTTAAATTCCATGTTCTAGAGAGAAATGTGTAAAGATAAGCTGTTAGGTTAAACTAATTGTTAGAAACTAAATCATTTTTGTTTTACTTAGGCTAAAACAACCTTCAAAATATATCAAATGAATGAAGAACGACTTAAGGTAGTAATAAAAGAGGCTTTGAATGAAAATTCCCAACTTCAGGAAAGTCAGAAACAGGTTTGTACTCTGTAAAGACTCTTCAGCTCAAGAATATATAATCATAAATTTTCTGGGAATACTTATGACTTACTCATCCTAGGAGCAAGAGTGGGCTTTTTTTTGGAGAGCACAGGAGCAGGACAATCTCTGTTGCTTACTTTGTTGTTTCTTTTGCATAGAATACTAAAGTGTATACTTCAGTCACCTTCTTTTTCCAGGAATGAAAGTAAACTGGGGTATTTAGCATTTTGGTAAACACAGAAAATAGCATTTAGCACCCACTTTTCAAAGCTAGCATGCAGGGCAGGGTGCAGAGAATATCAATCAGTATTATTGAAGTTATCAGTTGGGGACTTAAGGATGGAAGGAGTTCTGGTGGTAGAATAAATTAGGATTTAGCTTTTATTCTCTTCTTCATATAGACATATACAGTCCCATACATTCACTTATATTTCCTACTCTTTGTTTTCCTAATAAAGTTAATAGTTTTTCAGTGAGAAAAATTTTAGGGGTTATTGTGATTCTCTCAATCTGGTATACCCTTATTATATATTCCATTTTTACCCAACATTTATTTTACCTGAAGTTAAAAATGGTTTTGTTTCCTGTAATATCTATCTGTAATCCACTGTCTTCTAGGGATGTGAATTTCTTATTTATGCTTTCAAATGCCTTGGTTAACTTGTTTATTTCACTTTCTTTCTAGAAGCAATTTGTCCTGGGGCCTTTTATTCTCATGGTTCAATAATAACTTGTTCTGTAGATCTGTTAGGCTTCTGTTGTCCTTAAATTTCACTTTCCTTCCATTCTGAGGATTCCACCTCTTTTTCCTGTGCTGTACCTAAGACTTACTCTTTTGTAGTTAGTTCTTTTGATTAGCTTCTTGAGAAAGAGGTATAGAAGGTAGTGTTTTCAGACCTTGCATACCTGAAAATATCTTGTTTTTCTCTATTACTTACTGATATTTTTATAGCATCTGACTTGCAATTATTTTTCCACAAAATCTTGTCATTATTATTCCATTGGCTTTACTGTCCATTGTTGCTTTTGAGAAGTTAAATGCTGTATGGATTATGGTACATGTTTTTGTTACCTTTTCTTCCCTGGAAGATTTTAGTAACTTTTTTTTGTTTCCAGTTCTCTGAAATTACATGACTATGTGCCTTGGTGTGTGTTGTTTTATACATTGTGTTGGATCCTTTCAGTTTGGTTTGATTTGGAAACTCCTCTTGATTGAGTTCTGGGAAATTTACTTAAATTATTCTATATTTTTTTGGGCATAATTTCTGTAATAATGACTTGAAAACATCTTCTTTTTCATCTTTATGTAACTTTTGTTCATTTTTTTTTCTAATCTTTTTTACTTGTAAGAATTCTTTTTGGTTTGCTTTTGCTTTTTTTTTTAATCTTGCTGAGGATTTTGAAGGTTTTCTTAAATATTTTTCATTTCCCTGAATTGCCTTGTTAACTTTGAGTTTCTTTATTTTGTGTTTTGGCCTATATCTTATCTAAAAGATTCTCTTTACAGATATTTGGAGATTTATGGCTGTTTTCTTGTTTGAGATGCCTTCTAAATCTAATTGGAAGTACCACATTTGTCACCCAGGGTCTTTTCTATAGCGTGATCTGGCTGGGGTGTTTCCAATTAGAGGATCTCTAGGATCCCAAGGCCCTAGGTTCATTCCTCAGTGCTAGATGGAAAAGGTAAAGAGGAGACCAAATATAATGGATATGTACATGTCAGAAAGCCTTCTATTTGATATGAATTTATTTTGTAAATCAGTTGAATGTGTAGGTTGTCTCTTATTTTGTCTTACTCCTATTTTGAAAGTTCTTTGAGATTAGGAGCCATATCTTTCTTTCTTTTTTAAGTAGCAGCACTGCCTTCTTAATATTTTTAAATGTATACCCAAATATATCTACCCATAAGCTTGATGAGGTGAAGTTGCATTTCTCTGTTGTTTTTTTCAATTTCAGCTTTTGCAAGAAGCTGAAGTGTGGAAAGAACAAGTGAGTGACCTTAATAAACAGAAAATTACATTTGAAGAATCTAAAGTACATGCAGAACAAGTTCTAAATGATAAAGAAAATCACATTAAGGTAAATGGCTCTCATCAATTTTAGTGACTGAGCTGGCTAGACTTTTATGCTAACTCTGAAATTTGAAAACTTTTGTTTTTACCCACTTTTGATTATGTATTTGGCCAGATTTCAAAATGCTATTTGAAGATCTTTGTAATATATATCAACATATGTGTCTATGTCCTTTTTTTCCCTTTTGTCTCTGCAGTGTTTTAGCATAAGTATTTCATAAAGAAAAAGAATAATGTTTTTTGCCTTTCTAGGCTTCCATCTGCTTTTGATGGTAAGAAGATGTTAGAGTTTAAGAAATTAGGCAGATAGTTAATTTTTTTTTTTTATTGCTTGTGTACCTTTAATACTTACTGGTGTTTTGTATTTTTACAGAGATGAAGAATTTTTAAAGAGTAGATTTACTTGCAACTTGACTCTAATCATAGTAATAAAGTAGTTGATATTACTCTGTTGACTTTTTCTTATTCCTTGTTCTCCCTTCTGCTAACCCCTTTACCCTGTGTATAATCGTTTAAATCTTATGTTTTCAATCTATAAACAAATCCTCAAGTGTGAATATCAAGAAATGAAATGTAAAACTGACCATTTTATAATCTGCATAGTAAAATGGATGTTGTCATAATGAAAGCTATACATTTATGATATTTATGTTGCTACTAAGAATTTTTTCAAGATTCTGATTTTGGAGTTTTATTCTTAATTTGGTATATAGTTGGCCCACGTGTCTGTGGGTGTCACATCTGTAGACTGAAAAAATTACAGATTAAAAACATTAAAAAACAGTAACTGTACTGAATAATATACAGATTTTTCCTTGTCATTATTCCCTAAACAGTACAGTGTAACAACTATTTATATAGCACTTGCATTGCATTAGGTGTTATAAATAATATAGAGATGATTGAAAGTATACAGGCAGCTGAGCGTGGTGGTACACATCTTCAATCAGGGAGGCATGTGAGGCTGAGGCAGGAGGATTGCAAGTTCAAGGCCAACCTCAGCAATTTAGTGAGGAAGTAAACAACTTAGACTATCTTAAAATAGAAGGGGCTGGAAATGTAGCTCAATGGTAAGAAATCACCTCTGGGTTTAATTCCCAGCACTCCCAACCCCTCAAAAAAAGTATACAGGCAGATGGACATAGGTTATGTGCAAATTCTTTGCCATTTTATTTTATTTTGTTTTATTTTTTATTTTTTTAAAGAGAGAGAGAGAGAGAGAGAGAGAGAGAGAGAGAGAGAGAGAATTTTTTTTTAATATTTATGTTTTAGTTATCGGTGGACACAACATCTTTGTTTGTATGTGGTGCTGAGAATCGAACCTGGGCCGCACGCATGCCAGGCGAGTGCGCTACCACTTGAGCCACATCCCCAGTCCTTCTTTGCCATTTTATATAAGGGACTTAAGTGTGTATGAATTTTGGTATCTTGATTGAGTGTGTCCTTGAACCAGTCCCATTTGGATATGGAGAGATGATTCTACTTATATTTTCCCCCTAAACTTATTGTACTTAAAGAGTTTATAGGGTGAAAATTTTATAGCAGAGTAGCTTTTTAGGTGGGCTTTTCCAGAGAAATACTAGGCACAGTCATTTGGTTATCTGTAGTGTTAGAAAATCTTTCTTTGTTCAAGAAAATTAAAGTACTCTTAGAAAACTTTTGAGTGTTGTATAAGAAAATGATTCATTGCTCTGTAGTTATTTATTTAGAAGAATGGGCCATTATCAAATGTTATATTTGATTTAGGAATAACTAATTTTGGTTTTCCTTTTACAGAGTTTAACAGTCAGTAAACACTGTAGTTTAAAACACTATTTACATGTCTTAATAACAGGTAGACAATAAGAGCTCATGTGCTGTTATTTATATGTATTTATTTTTCAACTACTACTGTACATTCATAAGTTGTAAAGCCATTAGCATAAGGCATTACCTTTCTCTTTTATTTTTTTCCCTTTGCTAAATGTCAAGTCTCTGATTGAACGCTTGCTAAAGATGGAAGACTGGGGTGCTGTGCTTGGAGAAGACCCAACAGATGATGATAACTCGGAATTGGAAATGAACAGTGAATCAGAAGTTGGTGCTTACTTAGGTATTAAGTCATGACTCATCCTCTTTTGCTAAAATGGTGACTAGCTCTTCTATTTCCTTTTTGTTCCTCATATGCACTGTGTTCTTTACACACTTGTACTTTGGTATATTCTGTTTGTCTGTCTGAAACACTGTGTCCTTCTCTCACCATCCCATGTGGTTTAGCTTCACATAATCCAGTAAATATTTCTTCAGCCCCACAAATGGACTCACACAGCTCCTTTATATCTGTTCTCTTTATGTATTATATTTGTTGTCATTATGATAATTTCCATAATTGCATCAAACATTTTATTGCTTGTTTTTCTCAGGACTCTTAAGTTAATTATATGGATGGGTTACTGGTTTAAAAACTGAGTGTTATATAAAAAAATAATTCATGATACTTTTTTTTGTTTTGTTTTTATCAGATGATTATAGTACTTGGATCTTGGCCATCTCAAATTATTGTTTTGCTTTTGGGTACTGGAGATTGAACTCAGGGGCCTTCGGCCACTGAGCCACATCCCCAGCCTTATTTTATATTTTATTTAGAGACAGGGTCTCACTGGGTTGCTTAATGTCTTGCTTTTGCTGAGGCTGGCCTTAAACTCGTGATCTTCCTGTCTCATTCTCCCAAGCCACTGGGATTACAGGAGTGTGCCACCACACCTGGCACCTGGCTTTAAATTGTTTTTATCATTACCCTCACTATAGCCACTCACTGTATTCTCAAACTAATTCCTTGGACTGGTTAAAAAACAACTTTTATTTTGAAATAATTGTGGAACTGTTAGACCAGGACTCAAGAAAAGACCACTGACTCCAATTAAAATCAAATTAAAGCAAGCTTATTATTTCGACCGGGGCCGGGCTACCTCTCCCTCCCAAAACAGCGAGAACAAGACAGCCGCAGCAGCTTTCCTGCAGCCCAGCTTTATAGCCCAGAAAGTTACACAAAGGGGGTTTACAGATAACAGAACTCTGACAAGCATCACACTAATGTGTTGCTGGCCCCAACATCAGAATTTATGAGGACCATTAGAGCCTCAGAGAGGGTAGTTGTCTGGCCAGGGAAGGCCAAGATTTATGAGGTGTCACTAAAGTTTCAGAGAAGGCTGCTCTCTGGTCAGAGAGCCAGGCATGGGTGAGTTCAAGGCACAGGCAGGCATTCCAAACAGGTTCAGAATTTGCAGTAATTTATAGTAAAGCCGAAATTATCTTTTCATGGCTTTGTGGCGAGATTGCTCCCAATTTTAAGAAAAGATCAGGTTGGGTCTATCATTCCTCTCTTTTCTTATGTGTCCCTTTCAAATCTTTGATAGGGTAGGGGAAGAGCACTGAGGGAATTTTAATCCCTTAGGCAACAGTCTCCAACTTTTTAGAACTCACCCAAAATCGGTCTCCCTGATTTTACCTGACTTAATTGATTACTTATATTGATAGTCTATTTATTTTTGGCTCCATTGTTGTAAGAAGAGGGGCGTCGCTCATTTTGGCTTCTTCTGAGCTGAGAGAGGGTGACGTGAGGGAACATGGCATGAGGGACATGAGTTTCCTTTTAGTTCGGTTTGAAGTCTGGTTGGGGAAGAACAGGCAGGTTGTAAAGTCATCTGGGGATGGGTGCTTCTTTGAGAGAAACAAAAACCATGAGTTTTTGTTTAAATGTTGAGTACTGAATAAATGTTGCAGCAGCTGGAACATGTCACTGTATAGAAGTTCCCTCACCAGGCTTTAACATCCCCAGTTATCAGGACTGTAAGCATAACATTTAACTTTCAGTGTTACAGTTGTCCCCCCCCTCCCATAAGATACAGTTTAATAGTTTAATGTCATCTGAGCTTGCAAAAATTTTTTACTAGTATGACCTCTGTGTCTAATAGAGAAACCTTTAATTCTGTTACTCAGGGCTGGATAATCATACTAGCAAACACTAAGCCTACTTGTGTAGGTTAGGAATATCTGTAGGCCTTAAACTAAAAACTTCTGTCTCTGGCAGCTCCTCTTGATAGTCTCTTTTTATAGTTATCAGTCTCTTTTTATAGTTATCCTTCTTTGTAGCCTCCAGTCTTACTTATTTTGGGAGGCTAACATAAAGTGTATATCTTAAATTATTATTATTATCATCATTATTATTTAAAATCCCCAGGAATGGCTGTATTTTGGTTTCAGCTGTCTTTGCTAAGTGTTTAAAATGAAGCAGTCAAACTGACTTTTGTTTTTATCTATTGTTCACAGTTAGCTGAGCTTTTATGGGAGTCATTTCTGGGGAAACTTGAGAGCAGCTTCTCAGTTCTGCTAGTGCCATTTGCGCTAGGATGGTTCCAGGTCTTGCTTGACCATGTGGCTTCCTTGGAAGCATCAGGGATGTCTCCCTTCTCTGATGACCCTCCTCTTCATAGCAAATTCACTGATTGGCTTTCTCTTCTCCAGTGATCTCATTAATCTCCCTGATCGGGAGGTTATGTGGCCCAGAGTTGCAAAGCTCTTTAGAGAAGTCCCCTGTTCCCTGGATTCAGACTGACTCAGAGGGCAAGAGCCAAATATTGTTTTTTCTGGCCCTTTTAATTTAACTTTAATTTTAAAACTTAATCTTAAACATCCAGCAAATAAATTTTAATAGCCTTATATTACTGGGCTTTAATGTCTATAACTTTATAATTATTCATCTTTTTATTAATTAGGATCTGTATTTTCCTGTCTGTCTTGTAGGTGATGGCTTATTATCTTAAATTAACCCATGTTGTGTTCTTAAAGCAACACTTCTGTAAAACACTAATAGGGAATCTTTAGATCATTTATAAGGAAATTACAAAATAAAATTAACAAGAGTAAAAACATTTAGTTCGTGTAATAGCTACCCTGAATTTTTGGCTGAGTTATACATTATATCCCCTGTTTGAGATCCTAGTAATCTTGACAGAAAAAAAAAAACAACTTTTGAACATAACTTTAAATGAACTAAAATCTGGCCTACTGTTTTTGTAGTCATTCTCACATGTAGTAAGATGGCACACAGAGCCTTATCTCAGGTAAGGCAGGGCTCTTTATAAATCTTAAATGTTTTAGTTCTAAAGCTGATCTTTGTTTTTTAAATATCATTTTACAAAGTTTACATAAATTGTTTGAGGTCACATGAACATTAGCTAACACCATATGATATCACATTTAAAACATGAATTAAAGAAAGGCTGAAAGTTTTTAACCTTTACATAGATTAGGCTCTCATTAACTTAAAAATACATTTAAATTGTTCCCCAATGTAAAAAGTAACATAAAACTTTACATATCTTATTGATAACAGGTAAATAAATCCCCAATATATTTTTTACCACCCCAATATATTTTTTACCATACAACTTTAGAACACCAGCTTGATATAATGCTCTTTTAAAGTTTTTACCTTACAGACTTGTATACCTGGAAGATATGAGCACATTAACAGCATCACAATTACATTGATGTTTTTATATTAACAAGTTTAGCTTTTAAAAAATGACATATAATGCTCTAAAATAACAGTTCTTATTTAACCAGTTGTTTAATTTTTATGATTGTTTGCTCTAGAAAAAAAATAAAACTTAATAAACACAATGTTATGGGTAAACTTATGTTTTAAGAAATTTTTGTCTCTTTAACACATGACTGAGTTTTACAATCTTATACAGACCTTAGTACAAACTTAGTAAATCAATTAGCTATGTAACAAGAGTACTCATGAGTGAGTAATCCCATATCAAATTTACTTATTTTATCAAAATATTAGACAAGTGTATTGAACAGTGCTAGCCATTTTTTTTTTGTTGAAGGAAAAGTCCTAGAATCAAGGCATATTAGACATTTTATAGACATTAATATTTTATTAGTTTTTTTGAACACCTAGAAAAACTTGTAAGCTTAAATTTAAAGACATTTATTTTTATTTGTTTATCTAATTTATTTTTTATTTTTTATTTTTTTAATTTTTTTTAAAGAGAGTGAGAGAGGAGAGAGAGAGAGAGAGAGAATTTTTAATATTTATATTTTAGTTCTCGGCGGACACAACATCTTTGTTGGT